GTTAGATGTACTAAAGTCAGGTGTTTCTAGATCAGCAAGTCCAGACAGTCTGCAGCCAAGAGTTTGAAAAGAACTGGCTGAGGAACTTGCTAAAGCAGCAATATTCATTTTCCAACTAATCTTGAAGTTCCAGAAGTTTAGCACAACATTATCCTCCTTCCAAACAGGATAACTCCAGACAATTATAAGCTTGTCATCCTATTAGATGTACTAAAGTCAGGTGTTTCTAGATCAGCAAGTCCAGACAGTCTGCAGCCAAGAGTTTGAAAAGAACTGGCTGAGGAACTTGCTAAAGCAGCAATATTCATTTTCCAACTAATCTTGAAGTTCCAGAAGTTTAGCACAACATTATCCTCCTTCCAAACAGGATAACTCCAGACAATTATAAGCTTGTCATCCTAGGCTCAATCTCAGGCAAGATAATAAAACAGCTGACCTGGGACTCAAAGAATTAAAGGAGGGTAATGTAATTAATGCAAATAAACATGGGTTTAGGTAAAATACACCATGATTCAAACTAACTGATTTTTTTTTTTGAGGAGATGACAAGTTTGGTCAATACAAACAACGGTGTTGATGCAACAAACTGAGCCTTTTCTACAACATTTTGACTAAACCGAGAATATAAAATTTATATGGCATTCACTAAATGTATTAAAAACTGATTAACTGACAGATCAAAATGTAAGTAGCTGTGTTTCCAGAGGAATGCTGCAGAGACCAGTTCTTGGTGCTATGCTAGTCAAAATTGTGAAAACAAAACTCATTATTGATAGTCTGCAGATGACAAAAATTAGCAGAGGACAGGCAACTCATTCAGAGCAATCTGGATCAGCTGGTAAACTGGATGAAGGCAAGCAAAATGTGTGTGTTAAGGCTAAATCAGGGGTGCCCAAACTTTTTTCAAAGAGGGCCAGATTTGATGAAGTGAACATGCGTGAGGGCCGACCATTTTGCCTGACATTCTTTGAACCATTAAAATTAAATGCAAATTAACTATTTTATGCAAAGTTTATTGCAAACGGCATACTTTTCATTTCGTCACATGGATGACAAATCTAAACAGGTGTTAAATCACTCTGCCTTTCATATCTGAAGGCCAGATGAAAAAAAAATCCAGGAAGCTGAAATATATGTCAGGAACATTGTAAAGTACATTACATATTATTGGTAATAAAGGTTGTCTGTCAACTTTTAAGTTCAAAAAATATGAACAGGAACATAACACCAAGTATACATGTTGTGTCCAAATATATTTATAACTGATTTAGACCAACGGACATGAACTGAGATTTTACAATGTGTTCATCTCAATACATATGGATTCGTTGGGGGCCATAAAAGATAGATATTGCCAAATTACCTGTGGGGCCGTATTAAACCGGAACACGGGCCGCAATTGGCCCGCGGGCCGGACTTTGGACATGCCTGGGCTAAATGTACATTACTAAGAACAAAGAATGTAGGCTATATTTTCAGAATAGGGGATTCTATCCCCCTGGGATGAAGTGGCTCTGAAAAAGACTTAGGGGTTGTGGTTCTGGCGCATAATCACCTGAACATGAGCTGCAGATGAGATGCTGTGGCTAAAAGAACTAAGGCAATCCTGGCAGGCATAACCAGAGAAATCTTGAGTAACAGTAGAGAGGTTATTTTACCTCCATTTGGCACTTGTAAGTCCACTGTTCAGATACTAGGTCTAATTCTGGTACCCACAATTCAAGGATCGCTAATAAACTGGAGAGAGTTTAGAAAGGAGCCATGTGAAGATTAGAAAAAGTACCTTACAGAAAAAGATTCAAATAACTCAATCTCCTTAGTTTAACAGAGAGAAGATTATGAAGTGAACTGATTCCAGTCTATAATTATTTATAGGGGGAACAAATATTTAGTAATTATCTCTGCAATCTAGTGGAGAATGGTATAAAATGATCCAAAAATTAGAAGATGAAGACAGACAGATTCACACTGGAAATAAGAGTTGGTTTTTTACAGTGATGGAAATTAACCACTGGAATAATTTTCAAAGGGTCACGGTTGATACTTCACCACTGACATTTTAAATTACAACTGAATTTCTCTCTAGAAGATATGATCTAGGAATTGTTTTGGGGAAGTTCAATGGTCTGCGTTATTACAGGAGGTCAGACTAGAACAGGGGTGGCCAACCCATTAAATTAAGAGAACCGAAACAGTGGCAGAAAAAAAATGTGAAGAGCTGCACCAGAATTTTTTTTGAGCAATTTTTGTTGAAGGGAAGAAAAAAAAAAAAAGGAGACACTGCTCCTTTAAAAGGCAAGGCTTTTTGGACACATCAGGCTCCCGGTAGCTGCCGCCATCTTGGCGACACCATTTTGAATCACCGCACCAGACGGCTCCCTTGCCCCGGAGAGTACCGGGAGCCAGGGGCCGGGACCGTTTCTAGGGGCACAGGAGTGGCTTCACAAGCCGCACTTTAAGGGGAGGAGGAAGAGCTGCATGCGGCTCATGAGCCGCAGGTTGGCCACCCCGGACTAGAAGATTAGAATGGTTCCTTCTGGCCTTAGACTCTACGAAGCACTGAAGTACACTAAACATAACAACTGATGCTTACTGTACCTTTTCACTGGTGAAGACTTCCAACTGTGATATCAGCTCTTTTATTTCTCTCTCTTTTTCTGCCAGCTGAACCTACACGAAAACAAGTTAGCAGTGAAAGGTCAATATTGGTCCTCATGAGGTTTCACAACTGGTATGCGTCTGCATGAATGAAGGTCCAACTACTTTGATGATGTTCTTCTCAGACCTGCTTGTACTCCTACTCAAAAAACTTACATGAATATCATTTGGGGAGTTAGAAAAACCCTTGTTTTTTTTGTCTAAAAGATTTCTTATAAAATGTGTGATTTCACAATGCTCTACTTTGTGCTTCTTCCTATTCAATGTGTAGACAGTATAACGGGTGAGGAAAATAAATTTAAAAAGGCTCCTATGCCATTAATATCAGGACAACCTATCTCACTGATGATCTACACGTTGCCCCATCTCTATTTTTCCAGTGCTTGGCCAAGACTGGAAATGGATGGGAGCAAGATGTAGGATTTTGCCTAGCGAAGACTGTGGGTACGTCTAGATTACATGCCTCTGCCAACAGAGGCATGTAAAATAGGCTACCCGACATAGTCAATGAAGCAGGGATTTAAATATCCCCAGCTTCATTAAAATAAAAATGGCCACCACACTGTGCCAGCTTAGCTGATCTTTGGCACATCGCACGAGTCAAGACGCGGATCGATCAACAAAGGAAGCCTTTGTCGACCACTCCTAAACCTCGTTTCACGAGGCATAAGGGAGTGGTCAACAAAGGCTTCCCTTGTCAATTGATCCCCGTCTTGATTCGCGCGCTGTGCTGGTGTGCACAGAGAGGCATGTAATCTAGATGTACCCTAAGACAATGCTAGTGGACAAAAAATTCTATCCTTAGGGTTGAGCAGAGGTGGCACCCTTATACCTTTTATGAAAAGGATTTGCCCATGATTTAGCCCAAATCATGTTTTAGGGATGCTCTTGGAACCCCAAGTGTAACTAATGGTCAGGAGTAGCCCTTTTCATGTGTTCATTTACAGGGCTCGCCGAACTGTGGCGAGCCATGCTCGCCAGCGATCTGCACATGCACAGATCGTTCTGCGCATGCGCAGATCGCCCGAACTCGGCTCTTCCAGGTTGCAATCTACTAGCCACGAGCAAGTGGACTGCATTATTTGTCGAGCCCTGTTCATTTAGATGTTTGGGGGTTTTTTGGTTGAAGTTAGTTATATTTTTGCTAATGCATACCTCCCTACAGTAACTGAAATCTTCTGAAGTGATTTAAAACATGTGAAAGATGGTGAGCCTTATATATAAAAATTTAAGAAATTACTGAAAATTTTTCACTAACAATTAACATAAAAGTAAGTAAAGACCAAAATATCTGGCCTCATACTTCATATAATAGAGATGTAATAGCCCTTCAGATGGTGAAAGTCAAGAAATTATAATGCATGACCATGCAATCTGTACTTTTTTTAGGGCTGTCAATTGACATGCATTAACGCCTGCAATTAATGCAGTACAGGATTAATGCATTACATTTTTTAAACACGTTAATGCTGCGCTGCCCCTTTGAAATGTCGCTGCAGCACTTCAAAGGGGCAGCACTACACAGAGCCTGGGATCAGCTGGGGACTCCTCAGCTGACCCCAGGCTCCACAGTCCCTTTGAAACGTGCAGAGGCAGCATTTCACAGGGCCAGTCGCCTACAGTGGAGTCGGGGATCAGCTGTGCGGCAGCTACCCCTTAGAAACGCCACCTCCGCGTATTTCAAAGGGGCAGGGGAGCCCGTGGTCAGCTGGGGACTCCCCAGCTGATCCCGGGCTCCACGTGTCATTTCCCCGGAACCCGGGATCAGCTGGGAATTCATAGGTAACCCAATAATTACTTCAAAAAATGATTCAATTTGAATCTTCCTTAAATTTAGTAAGACTGATATGATGTACTGACAATGCATCACTGCACTCCCAATACAACAGTGAAAAGCTTCATGACATTTTAAACACATATTCCATGCCTGCTACTATAACTAGATCTGCTACTATAACTAGATCTGCTTACCACTTTTCATCTTATAGTTAGTGCAAGCAAAATTCAAGTAATAGTTTTAATGTCTATCTAAATCAATCATATTAAATAAAGTAAAACGAGCTCTCTTTCAAGAATACATCAACAAATAGCCAATACACTTACTTTATACTGATCCTCCATTGCTGCTAGCTGGAGTTTTGCACTCTCACTGATTTTCACTTGTTCTTTCCATTTCAGCTCCAATCTGGCCAATTCATCAGCATAAACGCTGCATTTCATCTTCTCATCCTAAAGTAGTGTAACAGAAGCCATAATGAATCACTTAAAATTTTAGAAATTTATGGAATTTATTTTATTAAATCACCTGACCATGCAAGTCCATGCTTCCCAGAATTAGACAACTGCCAAGTGGCTTCCCTATAGATTAATTACAGGCCCCTATCTATGTAGTAAGGCTTTGAAATAATGAGTCTGAATATAGGTTGAACCTCTAAAATCCAGGACACACTCGTCTGGCAACATCTGTGGTCGGGCAGGACCATGGATATTGTTGAACCAGAAACCCCTGGCTAGCCAGGTTCAGAAGTGCAGCCTGGGCTGAGCTGGCAGCATGGTGGGAAGCACAAGCCCAATCAGAGCTGCGAGCGGGGAACGCAGTCCCAGCCAGGCCTGGAGGCAGTGGGGCCAGTGACCAGGACAGCAGACCCAGCTGGTGTAGTGGGGAGCACAGCCCTGGCAATGCCTGGAGGTAGCGAGGCCAGCAGCTGGGCAAACAGCCTGGGACAGAGTCACTGAGAAGTAGAGAGCACACCCCCAAGCCACGCAGCGAGGCCGGAAGAAGCGAGGCCAGCCACAGCTGGGGCTGGTGTGGTGGAGGTTGCAGCCCCAGACTGGGCTGGTGCAGTGGAAGGCTGGAGGCAGCAGGACGACAGCAGGGAGTGCAGCGCCAGTTGGGCTCAGAGACTACAGCCAGATGCGAATCTTGACGTCCCCGGATCTAGCAAACCCCATGGCTCAGGACCACCGAAGTCCCACCTATATAATTTTCCTTGAGCCTTAAACAAGCTGCTATTCTTCTCTCCCCTTCTCTTTTCTAATTTTTTTATGTTGTCTTACTGATGCTCTTCAAAACATGCTGTCATTTCTTAAGGGTGTCTCACATCCACTTCAATTATTTAAAAACAAAACAAAACAAAAAAACCCACACCTCATTCTAGAGAGCTTTGCAAACACCCAGAGTATCTTTCCTCCAGAAGGCTGAAAACACGGCCTTCCTTTAAAGCATCCCGTGTAACTCAAACAACTAAGTAATGAACCAGCACAAATGCCAACTGTGCCATAAGAGATAATGAATGCAATTACCTTGCATGTGCGTCACCATGGTAAAAATAATATTTTTGTGAAAACAAGAACGATAGGTTGAGAAGCTTAATGGAAACAGGTAAATGCACTTTATTTAAATAGTTGTATCTAAAAAAAATCTCTTTGTGGAGATTTATATTCCATCATTTCAGGCTGTTCTCACTCCAATATTTGCTTTATAAATGACCAACATTCCTCTTATCCAAACATAACAGGTAATTCAACATGCAGCAAACAATACCACAGCACCCGCACAATAAGGTCTTAAAAATCTAAGGATACCTGTTTATGATAAAGTTTCTATTATGATCACATCTGTGCTACATAAATGACCATTAAGGGAATAAACAGTTGACTAGCTGACAACAAGTATTTCAGCATTCTTCAGATTTATTCTCTGTAGCTACTTTCTTTTCAAAGCAGCCCTTTACTTACTGATAACATTTGCTTGCATTTCTTATACTTCTCTGTTTTCTCAGTAATTTCTTTGTTCATTTCACGTGCTTGCTCCTTTACTGTGAACTCTGAAACTATACCAGGGCTAGCTGCAAAAATTGAAAACAAAAAATTTATGAGCATTTATTCTAATGCAGTGCAAAAGGGAGCAAGGAAGGGCGGACAACAATTCAAACGTTGTCAATGTCACATACTAATATGCATCCCAGAGACAATTTCACATGACCCAATCTCTGCTGGTCCACAGCCATATTAAAATGAGGACAGCTGTATTTTGCTCCATTTCATGCAGATGGAGAATGGTCTCAGGCTCTTGCCAACAAGGCCTTCAGCTGGGCAAAGTTTGGGTACCCATGCAGAACAGAAAATATTCCACAGCACATATAAAATGTTTGGAGAGCTGAACACCTCTTCGAAATATAAACAATTTATAAACTTAATTCTCAGAGCACAACATTATTGGTGCATATATTTTACCCTTTTGAAAAAAAAAATGCTTAATGATCTAAATGTCACAAAATGGCAAGTGTTTACTTTCTCTCCAGTATGTGTCATGACATATTTCATGTTCCTTTCTTTATGTTTTAAAGGCTAGTTTTGTGGGAAGTTTAATAGTCCATGAAAATTACAACCTTGTCAAGTATTTCCAGTAAAGCATTACTGTCTATAAATTAGTGTATATAATTCTGTCTTTTCCTGCAGATAACTGAACACTTTATCAGCACTGATTTTGCAATAAATATATTACACTAACTTTTCCATGACTAAAGAGATGTAATTCTACAGTACATATTTTGGAGATTTCTTTTTACTAAATTGCTGTTTATTAGCTAAACAGAAATACATAAATATGCTTGTAAATGTCATTCATGTGAACAGACCCAATGAGGATATTTATGGGTATGAGTATTTACAGGAGCAGGCGCTCAGAGTGATATTGTAGTCTTTTTCCAAACACCATGAGGTAGTGGTTCATATACAAAGTACTTCTTTTATAGATTACTTCACACACAAATATTCTATTTGAGGCCAACAAATAGATGCCGTTAAAAAGTTTACTTTGTTGATACCTGGAGATGAGGTCAACTTTTTATCTGTAACAACCGCAGTAGCTGTCTCAATGTTTGAAGCATCTGTCACTTTCTGTTGATTCCCTGCATTTTTCTTCACACACACACAAAAAAAATAAAATGTGGTGCTTTATTCAAAGAAAGCATCAATCAAGTATTGCCAGGAACTGCTTAAATGATTGTACAACTACTGAGAACACATATGTTATAATTTAACTTCTCTTTATAATTTAATACTTCTTTTTGAAGAAATGGACACTATAAACCACTATTGTTTAAAGGAAAAAACACAAAAGCAAAATAATGTTTCTCTTGCTTAACATCTACTAGAAATGGACTCATCAATGCTGACGGGGTCAAGCGGAGATAAAAATAAAAAATATTCTCATTGTACAATCCCCACTATATATTAGCCACCAACCCAGAAATACGATCACTTTTATCATGCCTTGTTTTATAATAATTTTTTGCATAAAAATATTTTTCAAAATAGATTAAGGAAATCTCCTCTATAGAGGATCGGCTAAGTTTTAAATTTAACATTCCAATTTAAACTGCAATCTACACTATGAATTGGGAAGGCTTTAGATAAATAAAAGGCAGATCTCGGGTACTACAGTTACTATTTTTTTTTGTTTACATTTGAGCTAACATTTGAATTGGGGACTAATGTCAGATACACATATTACACACCACAGCCCCAAGACACAGGAAGGAAGAGGCATTAGCCAACAGACTTCATTACTGGGGCCCCACCAAGTTCACAGCCATGGAAAATGAGTCACAGACCATGACTGGTCTCCCTCTGATCTTGTGTTTGCGTTTACTCTATACCATGTATATTTCACAGGGGAGACCAGCACTTCTCAAACTGGGGTTCTTGACCCAAAAGGGCTTTGAGGAAAGAGGGGCAAAGACAGTCACAAGATTAATTTTAGGGGATTGCAATATTGCCACACTAGGGATGCTAGAGTTTAACTAAGTAACGTTTAACTAAGAAGCTAATGCTTATTGGTTAATGGTATTGGATAAACTCAAACTCAGCCAGTTCCTGGGGAGATGGCTTCACTGCAGCAGGACAGCAAAGCCTCCTCCCCAGGAGCCAGGTGGGTAAGGGCTGCCAGAGCCAGTCCCTGGGAGGTGGCTTCACTATAGCAGCAAAGCATCCTCCCCAGGAGCTGAGCCAGCAGGAGCTGGTAGCTCAGCTCCCAGGGAGGCTTAGCTTTATACTGCACAGCCCGCAGCGTGTGTAACCACTAAGATTATTAGCAGTTACCAAATTAAACGCTTTTTAACATCCTTATGCCACACGTACTTCTATGCTGCCATTGGAGCTGGAACGCACTGTTGGCTGGTCGTCCAACTCTAAAACCAGTGCCCAGCCAGCAACAGTACAGAAGTAAGAGTAGCAGCATCACAACCAGTGTTCCTTCTAAAATTTCCCAAGCAAGTGTGGAATCAAGGTTATGTGCACCAATATTGAGACATCACCTCCATATTGGCACACACAACAAAATTCACGTGGTGCAGGTAGGGCCAAGGGGTTCAGAGTATGGGATGGGGCTTTGGCAGGGGTGGGCAATAATTTTTGATTGGGAGCCACTCCAAGAATTTGGAAAGTGGTCGAGGGCCACACTCTTCCATGATATTAATAGAGGAGGTGCAGGGTCTGGGATGGAGGTTGGGTGCAGAAGGGAGCTTGGGGTAAGGGAGGGAGTTTGGGTAAAAGAGGCAGTTGTGATGGGGGCACTGGACTAAGGTGCAAGGGATTGGATTGTGACATAGGACAGGGAACTGGGGGACAGCAGGGGTTTGGGTTGTGAACTAGGGCAGGAGGGGACTGTAATATGGGGCAGGGGAATGGGCTGCCAGATCTGGGAGGGGATATGGGTGCAGGAAGGAAGCAGGGCATTTGGGTATGTGGGACAGGAGTGGGAGGCAGAGGGTTGGTGAAGGGAGAAGATGGGGTGCCAGAGACAGGGTCTGGCCAGGAGACTTACCAGCCAACAGCCATTCCTGAATCAGCCTCCCTGCCAGCCAGTGTTCAGTCTAAGCTGAGGGGCAGCACAGCTTCACAGGTGATTAATCAGCTCCTCCCAGTCATTCAGCTCAGTGCATGGAGTCTATAACTGGGTGGGGCTGATTAATTACCTGTGAAGCTGTTCTGCTCTGCAGTTTAGAGGGAACACCGCTGCCTGCCCTGCCTCTGCATAGGCTGCCACCATGTGCTCTGGAGCCCCCTGTGCTTTGTGGCTGCTTGTTATTGAAATAGGCAGCTCCCATTGGGAGCTGGGTGAATGGCTTTTTGTTTCCTGAGTGAATTACCAGAGACTGCTGCCACATAATCAAGGCAGGCACCTAAGGCTATTTAAGAACTTGCCTGAAATAGCAGACTAATCTGACACCTGCACCCAATTAAGACCTCGTAGGCTGCTTTAAAAGGTTTCCTCAAGTTAAGGGAGGGAGAAAGAAGAGGGACAGACTGAGAGGAGGAAGTGTGCTGCTGAGAACTGAGAAAGATTCATTCAGGTACCAGGGAGAAAGTACTACAGGAGTTTTTAGGGAAGTGACCCAGGGAAAAGGCTGCTGGATTGGGGCTAGAGAAAAAAAACCCAACCAGTTGCCACTGCCTAGGATCCCTGGGCCGGAACCTGGAGTAGAGGGCAGACCCAGGTTCCCCCCACCCCCCCATCACTAAAACGTCTCATTGTGGAAAAAGGAGGTCCAGGATTACAAAGGAGTCTTCTCCCCAATTCATTGACTTTGCCAATAATGAAAATGGGTCAATAAGCTGTGACCCTGACCTCTAGGAAAAAAAAAAAGAGGAAGTATGGAGGGTCACAGCGAGCTGCTAAGGCATACAATAACGAAACCCATGAGGCCTAGCCGAAGCTTTGCCACACATCCCACAAACTCAAACTTTCTACTGTGAAAGTAGAAAGAATTATACTGTAAGAATGAATAAGTTGAAGGAATTCTGTTTGTCTTTTAAGAGGAAGAAGAAAAGTATGTTAATGTTGATTGTAGGTATGCAGATCAAGGTGCTAGCCAATTTGGGCCTGAGTTTAACAGGAAAAGAAACATTAAGTGTTAGGAAACAATTCCAGATAATCAGGGAGATATAGCCAGGAGATTGCTGTGTGCTTAATATTGAAATGAAGAGTACTTGAGTAGCCTCACACTAATTATGTGAAGTTTTGCCTCCCTTTTAATCCTGTTAATTTTGGCTTCCTTTTGACTGTATAAAATCAAGGGGTTTGAACCTTGTAGGGTACTCACATTTTCTCCATGCATTTTAGCAAAGTTTTGCTGAAATAAACAGAGCAGTCTGCCAAATCTGTGAGTCCTGTCTGACTTTGACACTACTTATACCAAAAACTCTGATCCTATGCTTGGTTTCAACAGTTAGTTCATCATCAAACACCATACATGTAAGTTGTCTCTACTGAGGATTGCTCACATACTATTCTGATTCTTGTTTAAATGTGGTGTTCTTTGCTACAACAAATTAAACATTAAAAAGTCAAGGAAAGCTAATGGATTCTCCAATGGTACTTACTGTCTGATCTACAAGTTTATTCACTTGTTTTTGGAGCCTTTGGCATTCCTTGAACTTTTCTTTGTAATGGTCAGCAGCCATCTGCAGACGAAGCTTCAGATCCTCAACCTCTCTGCGCAGTTCTTGCTCTACTGTGTTTGAAATTTCCTTTTTTAAAGTAAAGAAATAAATATCAGAAAATATATTCTCTTTTGCTTACATCCAAATACTATAGAACATTTTTCAGGCAGCAATACTGAAGACAAAGATTTTCTTTTTGGGGGTATGAGATGGGGAATAATTTTTTCTCTTTGTTGCAAGAACACAGATACTACAATGAGATCCACTCTGAGCAGAATAGGGTGATGGAAGAGTGAAAACTAATCAGACATACAATTGTCTTTCTGGGTCTATGAACTGATTTACATCCATCACATGGAGTTAGAGCACTCTACAGCATGTTCCAATTTTTGCCAACTATGATTCTGAAAGAACTAAATACAGCTAAGAATTGGCAGAGCACAACTGTGTTCCACAATATTGCCCAAGACTGGAGAAGAAGTGGTGTAGAGATACGCAATTGCTGGTGGGGATATGAAGGTTTAACCAGTTTAACCTTTAATGGGGAGGCTTTCCAGTTAAGGTTAACTGGTGGGGTTGGAGCAACTCCTCATCTGCCATCGGCAAGAGGCTGCTCCAGACTCCCAGAGGCTGATCCAGCGCAAACCCTGCTTGAGGAGCTGCTCCAATTGGGACATCTGCATCAGGGGAGAGAGTGTTTTAGCCCACTCACTCCCTTTAATCAGCTAACTGGTTAAACAATATGTTTAACTGAAATGTCCCTAATCATTGCAGGAACAAAATAAGTCAGTTTTAGTCACGGATAATTCTATCTGTTCAGCTTTGGACAAACTTTGGTTCCCTGTTGCTGCTTAAATGGTGCAATGACCAGAGATAGGTCCAAATCAGATTGCTCAAGATAGTTAAGACTAAAGCAGACCGCGAAGAGCTTCAAAAAGATCTCACCAAACTAAGTGATTGGGCAACAAAATAGCAAATGAAATTTAAAGTTGATAAATGTAAAGTAATGCACATTGGAAAACAATAATCCCAACTATAAATACAATATGATAGGGACTAATTTGGCTACAACTACTCAAGAGTCATTGTGAATCACTCTCTGAAATCATCCACTTAATGTGCAGCGGCAGTCAAAAAAGCAAGCAGAATGTTAGGAGTCATTAAAAGGGATAGAGAATAAGACAGAAAATATTTTATTGCCTTGATATAAAACCATGGTATGCCCACATCTTGAATACTGCATACAGATGTGGTCGCCTCATCCCAAAAAAAGATATATTGGCATTGGAATAGGTTCCAAAAAAGGCAACAAAAATTATTAGAGGTTTGGAACCGGTCCCAAATTAAGAGAAATTAAAAAGACTTGGACTTTTCAGCTTAGAAAAGAAGAGACTAACGGGGGATATGATAGAGATCTATAAAATCATGACTGGCGTGGAAAGAGTAAATAAGTTATTTACTTATTCCCACAATATAAGAACTAGGGATCACCAAATTAAATTAATAGGCAGCAGGTTTAAAACAAACAAAAGGAAGTTTTTCTTCACACAGCTCAGAGTCAACCTGTGGAACTCATTGCCAGAGGATATGGTGAAAGCTAGAACTTTAACAGGGTTCAAAAAAAGAGCTAGATAAATTCATGGAGATTAGGTCCATCAATGGCTATTAGCAAGGATGGGTAGCAATGGTATCCCTAGTCCCTGTTTCTCTGCAGGTGAGTGACAGAGGAGGGATCACATGAGGATTACCTATTGTGATCCCTCCTTCTGTGGCATCAGGTATTGACCACTGTTGGCAGACAGGATACTGGGCTAGATGGACCTTTCATCTAACCCAGTATGGCTGTTCTTTTGTTCTAGATATTCTGGCCAATTTTTCTGAGAATATGTTTCAAATATATATTGTAAAGTAGTAAATACTTTTTCAACTCTGCCTTGCTAATAAAAAATGCTGGGATATTTGAAAATGAAAGAATGAAGTAAGTTACTTTTGCTACATTTTGGAAGCACAGATGCACGTTCCATGAATTTTCAGGCAGGCACAATATTTCAATAGTCTTATTTGCAATAGCCACAAGCCCACTGAAGTCAATGCAAGTTTTTCCATTTTACTTCAATGAGCTTTGGATTAAACAACCTGAACTTATAATATACTCATTCATAAAGGTTTTAAACATATTAATGCATTCCTATTTATTTTTTAAAAAAATCTTGAATAATCCACTTCGATCCAATTCTGAAACATTTGAGAAAACGACACATTTTTGTTCTAATATGAAGAAAAATTTGAGCAAAAGAGGAATCTCATCCAGTAACTCTTCTCATCTGCACTGATTTTAGAACAACCTGACCCATAGAAATTCAGAAGAGTTAAGGAGTCAACTTAAAGTAACCCAGATATATTGTTGTGTGTCTAACAACATCTAAAAAAAATCTTAAATATTCTGATAAAAACTATTGAGGAATGTTCTAACTAAACCATATAATCAATTTACATGCTTTAAATTACAAGGAATATAGTCAGTGGAGACAGACATTTTATAAATTATCCAGAAACAAATTTAGTTTTCATGGCTTTACCAAAATTGAAAACTGCTGTAACTAAATCTCACAATAGGTTTTACGAATAACAATTAACTGGAATAAAAAAGTAACCCTTTATTTACCTGTTCATTTTTCACAAGAGTGACTTTTTTGAGCTCTGCTACAGTATCAGAAAGCTGCTTCTTCAATTTCTCATTTTCTAGTCGAGTAGTATGAAGATCTGCCATTGTCCTATCTCGCACATTTACTGTATCACTCAGCTCTTTTGACAGTAAGATAGCTTCCTGTTTGCTAGCTTGAATCTGATCTTCAGCTTTCCGAAGTTGTTCCTTTAAAATATCTGCATCCTCCTGAAAGAAAATAAATGAAACTGTTTGAATATAGTGCTTCCTACAGTTTTAGCATGATTACAAATAAAAAGCAAATTTTCCTGAATAGCTCTAGCAAAGACATTAAACATAAGTAACTAACTTATACACATGCTCCTCCTACATTTCCCTTGTTTTATAGACTCAAAATTGTGTATAAGCATTTCTCATTGAAGTCAGAAGTATACAATATGAATAACCTTTGTTTCAAAATAAATGTAAAATACTATTTTACTTATTACTTTGCACACTGTTTTTATTTAATTTCAAGATTGCATTTTAAAACAATTAACACAACTCTACTTTAAAAAACGTATTTTGTACACTACTAACATTACAGCAGTTCTGATAAGCAGAAACAGCTGCTCACCATTTCACAAACACTTGTATGGTAGAGGAGATTTACATAAAAGCACTGGATGACGTCCTCTCTCTTGCTAGAGACCCGTACACCATGAAAAAGAAAGGCTGGAGTGGTGAAGAGGGGTCCTAAAAGTCACATATCTGGCTAAGGATTCCCTTGCTGCAGGCACTGGGGAATATATAGCTATCAGACTATTTTCCAAGGACTTGCTTCACAAGCCTTGATATAGGAAGCATGCCAGGATGGGATTGCAGCAGGACAAAGACAGTGTCACAGCACACAGTGCTATGAAAATTCCAGGCCGACAGACAAGCACATGTCCTTTGACAGTGTTCTAGGCTGTACCCAATATGTGTTAGTATTTCATGTACTCAGGGTTAGCCATAACTACACTCAAAGACTGTTAGCCTGATATTCTCAAGTTAGGACAAAACTTTCCTTAGCACTGAAAGTTACAAACTAAGTGGGATACTAAATGCAATTCAAAACTTAAGGAAAAAAAAAACCATACAGAACAAAAATGTTTCATTGACAAAATCTTTAGTTGCTGAGAAGAGTACCACTAAGTAGACTGCACCAGTGTGGGAATAATAAGTGGGGGATGCTTGAAAAGGTGTCAAGAGGCAGCTATTGAAGGTAGCTTGAGCATACTTCAAGATGGCCAACATTGTATAGTGGTTACCATTTGAAGTATCCAAAACCAGTTTTTTTAAATAAAAGCAGGAGAATCTTACGAAGACAATTCTATTTTTAACCATATATCTAGTTTGAATATATTTTTAGAAAGCTGACATCATGAGTATGAGCTTTTCATTCATATATAAATAAATAGGGGATAATTCCATCATTACATCATAAAATAATGTGCAAAAGCTCCAACCAAGTTTGAGGCTTCATTGTACTAGAAATTCTAGAACTGCACAATAATGGCTTTTTCACCTCTTGGTACAAGGTCATATTAACCACTTACATCTCCACAAATCTGTGGGTTTTAGCAATACATAAAAAAATGTTAAGGATCCCAAGAAATGGCTATAAGGGCTAAGCAAGTTTAACAAATGAAATATACTTTTTTACCCAATTCTGGAAACAAATGCTTCTGAGGTAAAACACAGTAGCTGTTTATTGCTATATTCATCAGCAAAACTACAAAAGCAGTCAAACGAAATGAGGAATACTAGATCTAGTCTAAACTGCAAATATGTTCTCCTTTTTCCTCTTTTGCTACTTCTCTTAACAAAACTTTTCCCAATTGCACTAATACCGTTCCCACAATCCTTATTACTACAATGCAAGTTTCTCTTCTTTCAAGACTTTAATGACTTATTCAAAGACAAGACTAACAAAACCAGTTCATTTGACTTTCTTGTAAAACACTACCCTAAATATTCTGTATTTTCATTCCCAACTATCATGCACTGCTCTTACGGTTAATTTTTCCTGAAAGTCTTGGAGCCAATTCTCTGCTTTCATCCTCCCTTGAGCTGTTTGCCGCTTTTATCCTCCCTTGTTTTCCATGCCATTGTTAAATCTTGTCAATGCACTATACTAATCGTTCCTTCAACATCGCTCTTGTGGATCCTCTCCCTCCACCAAACCTACAAAGTGAAGTCCTAACAGAGCTAAAACCGTGGGTCTCTTGTTTTCTGGAATTCTTTATCTACTGATATGACAACTACCATCTCTGGGCTGACAACTCACACAACTCTCCATGCCTGTATCCTTCCATATCTCCCTTCATTTCAGTCTGTCTCAGGTATCTCTCTGCAGATATTTCTCCAAGTCAAACTTACCATAGCCAAAACTGAATTAATTTTGTTCTTAATCCTCTCCCACATCCTTATTTCTCTGTTATTGAAAATTCCACTATCCCCCTAAATTCAGAAATATATCATGGAGGTGACCTTCAACTCCTGCTACTTTACCAAACATATATAACCTTAAATTAAAAAATAATTCAGCCTGTGAAGTGTATTTTCAGATTGGGCTAATTATATCAGTACTGCTTACCTTGTTTGAGGAAGAAAGCAAGAAAGCTCTCTTCAGGTTTTCTTTTTCAGCTATGTATAGCTGTAACTTTCCAACCTCCTCTTTGTAATGAGATATCATGTTTTCTTTGTTTGCATCCAAATTCTTTAATGTATGGACCTCTTTTACTAGCTTGGTATTTTCTATTTCTGTATTCTTCAAGTGTATCTGTAATGATGCTCAGAAATGTCAAACTCATCTTTTCCAATTAAATCACTGGAATCAGTCACATTATAAAGAATACTGGGTAACTCAAATCAAAGAGTAACTTTGTACCTGTTCATTTAAATGTTTTCTAAGTCCTCCTATATTAGGCCTGACTCTCAATCCAGCACATAGGGATAGTAATCAGACACTTTATAATGTCACTATCCTTATATTGGAAGCTTTCAGGATGCTATTTTCCAGCTGTACCATCCAATGCTAGCTATACTACTAGAAAGCTATGCCTTGTTCTAAGAACAGAGGAAGCACAACAATTCTGAAACACTTAACACAAGCTCTCAACCATTCCAGACTAGTGTATCCCTTTCAGAAACCTGATTCTTCCTGCATACCCCAAGTTACACCTCACTTAAAAACTACTTGTTCATAATATCAGACATAAAAATACACAAGCGTTCTTATTACTTGTGTAATTACAGAATGCACACTTACTAAATATTGCTTACTTTCTCATTTCTATAACCTATTATAAAATAACTCAATTGTACTGTACTTTTCAGTGTATAATATTTATGGAGACATACATAGGTCATTGCCTATAAAAATTTAGTTTATACTGGTTTGTTAGTACTTTTTATGTAGCCATAAGTAAAACTGGGCCAATTATCTAGATGAACTGACATACTCCCTAGAAGACCTCTGCATATCCTAGTTGAGAACCACTGCACAAACACTTTCCTCAACAAAATGGGATGTCTAGATAGATATTAAATTATTTAGGGGAAATTACAGAGAGCCAGGTAGCTCTTACTACATTTAAAAGGCAGAGCCATAGCGGTCCGGGACCTGCACAAACTAGGACTGCTCAGTCCTGGTTTGTGCCAGGTCCTGGGCCTACCCCTGCTGCGACTCTGCAGCACGCTTCCCCTTATCGACTAATTGTGTAGTCAATACAAATTGTATCAATTACACGATTAGCAAAATACTGCCGAAGGATGTTAAGGAGTGGTAACAAGTAATATTTGAAGATGCCACCTTAACTAACATGTAATGTTTAGCAAATCAGTGTTACAAATCCCAAGCATACGCCCAGTGCAGGTCTAAAAGCCTCGCATTTGCTTTGTCCACTTATAAAAAAACAACACTTGTGGTTATGGAACATGCCTTGATGCTTAGAGGAGAGTTAGGGACTTGACTTTTTCAGTATTGTCTCTAATACAAAGAAGTCCTCCTTGGATATAAACATGCTTTCAGGCACACCCTAATTTTTTTTTTAAATAACCTAAAGATGTTAATGCTCTAAATCTCATTCAGACAATTGCTTCTAAAAGGAGAAGACAAAGAATAATAGCCAATAACCGTTAATGCAAGTTAGAGACATTTCTGATGTACCCACTGTTTCCCATATCCACCCTCTCAAACAGAGGGTCAGATCTGCTTGTCTCAACTAGCACAACAGAATGAATGGTACAAAAAGAAATACATTCATTGTAACCAGGATGACTCCAGCAGATCACTTTGATTAGTCAGAAGGGTTTGTCTACAACTGAAAGGCTTTACAAGTATAGCTACATTGGCTGAACCTCCTAGGGGAGATGCAGTTTGTACCAGCAAGTTCAATCACTAGGCCTCCATTGATACTGTACACCTCTAGAGACCCTTCCACATATTGTGCTAAATTCTGATGTTTTTCCCATCCATTTTTTACCTAAGAATATTCAATGTATCACATCTCTCTGAAATATTATTAGTTTTACTCTAAGTCATCTAGCTTAAGGACATACAGCTAGAAAGAATGCATTACCTTGTAAAGTTCCTTCTCATCCTTCTCAGTCTTTAACTGACATTCAAGTTGTTCCTTCTCAAAAATGACTTTCTTCAATTTGTCTTTCAGACTACGGAATAGATATTAATGTAGTCATTCAAATATTACATTTCTTCTCATTCTCTGAGTGCATAAACACCAATGGTAACATTAAAATAAAGTAAATCTAGCAATAAGAGGGTCAAATACCTGTCCAACTCTGTTTCTTTTGCAATAGCTTTCTGAGTAACAGTCATGATATCTTCTTCAAGTTGGAGAACTTTCGATGTAGTCTCATCATACTTTTTCTTTAGTTCTTCATTTTCAATTTTAAGAATTTCTGAAGCCTGAAGATTATCCTTTTAAAATATAAAAATATACATGGATATAATTTATGATAAGGAAAAAGTGTTTTCCTTTAGAAACATTTTCATATGGTTTAGAGCGCCAATTTCTATACTTTTAAAGCTAACTATAAATCTTCCTTATTACATTCATTTATGCATTTTAAAATACAATTTTCTACATTAAAACAAAAAACACAGTGAATTTATTATAAGTTCTAAATAAATGAAATCGTGCATATGTACCACCTATTTTCATTCTGTGGCACACTTGTTCAACTAAGGAAACGCAAGATGTAAATACATTGTTTTTTGGTCATGTTACATCTTACCAACTCTTAGTATTTAAAAAAAATGCATGAGTCTCTAAAATGGGAACATACTTGCAAAAATAAAATTCAGATTTTAAGATTTAATGCAAATTAGTGCTTTGAGGAAGATACCTGTCATCATATAAGTGTGACTAATCAACTCACCAGAAGGGAGAGAAACTGCATGGGATGCTCCAACTGAATATATTTTTAAGTACACATAACAGGATAAAACAGAGGAGACTTAATATTGCATTGCAGAACAGACTGTTCTAATACATGTGTTGAGTCCTTAGCTCAATTATTTTTTTGGTTTTGGAAAATAAAATGAAAATATACATGCTTCATTTAAATCACTGCTCTGATGCAGGAGTGGGGATGAGAGGTTCAGTATAGAGGCTGCCCCAGGGTGAGAAGCAGGGCTCGACAAATAATGTCATCTACTTGCCCGTGGCGAGTAGATTACGGCCCAGAAGAGCAGGCGCAGAGTGATCTGCGCATGAGCAGAATGATCTGCACATGCACAGAACGCAGAATGGCGCGAAACCATGCGGGCTGGCGAGTGGGGCTCGCTGCCACTTGGCAAGCTCTGGTGAGAAGCATCTCTCAATGGCTGCTGCAGCTCCCAGGAGGGTGCCTGTCTCCCAGCTGGAGCAGGGCCAGGTTTGTCTGCCCTTTGTGCTTCCCAGACTAAATAAGGAATGCAGCAAACTGCACTTTTCCCTCACTCCCTGATGAAAGTGAACAGTCAGCAATGTTCCTATAGGAATTGGGGAAAGAGGTGCACTTTAGCTCTCCCGGCCCTCTCTAAAGGGCACCCCAGTCAGTCCCTGGTGATTCTGCTTCTCAGAATTAAGTATTATAAAGTATTATTTTTAAAAGCAACTAACAGAATTTTCAAGCCTCATGTTTTTGTTGTCTGATTGGGTTTTCTTTTTTTTTTTTTTTTTTGGTAGTGGTGGTGGTTAGGGAGAGAGGTATAGGGACACAAATATGTCTTATCTAAATAATTTCCTGAACACTGCTATATTCTACCAGAAAATGATATTCTTTCATTTAACTCTAAAAGATTGTTTTTACTTTTCACAGTTCCCAATAATGTCGTTTTAAAAATAGATTTATAAACGTTAAATAATTCTGTGAAAAAAAGCTTTATGAATGCATAGTTCGTTGTGAAGTAGTCTTTGAGAAGGAATCGTCAAAAACATACATTAAAAATGAACAATTCACAAATGTTTCAAGAGTTTTATTTCTGAAAGTGCTACTAATGTTCTGTAACCTATTTTAACTAATTACTAATTTACTATTTCCTGTAACCTATTTTAGTGTATTGAATAAAATTGCTGCATATCCAGGAGCAACAACAAACTTTATAGCTGATTTTCCTTCTCCTGTTTAGTGAAAGCAATAACTATAGAAATACAATGATTTTCCCACTGACTTCACGGTTTCAATGGAAACATGAGAAAAACTAGGTATGGGGCCTTACAGAACATGGACTGATTACAGCCATTACAAATTTTATTTCAATGTGCTCATGATATTTGCAGAACTTATAAGTTTTGAAAACTAGTTACTCCAAAGTAGATTCTCCCCCACCTTCCGAAAGTAACACTTCTAAATATTTAGAAAACTACAACAGTAAATAGCACCAATTCACACAAATCAACCGTTAAGATGAAGGACTTGTCTACATTTAAAACTTTATAGCACTTCACTGTAAACACAATGCACGCAAATGGGAAGGGTTCTCCTGCCTGCATAAGTAATCCATCTTCCCAAAAAGTAGTAGCTAAATTGACGGAAGAACATTTCCACTGACCTAGCATGGTCTACATAGAGGGGCTGAAGTCAGCTTAACAATGTGATGCAAAAGCATGAATTTTTCCAACCTAATTTCAGCGTAGACCAGGCCAAAACTCAATTTTAAATTGAATGGAACTATAGTCAGAAGTATTACCTAGAAAATCTATATCCTCAGTTTCAAATTTTCCTCTCAATGACTCAAATTTACACTATTTAAAATTACAATTTTCCTTTAAAAAAAACGCAACACTTCTAGCTTTGAAAAAACCAAACTGGGATTTAAAAAAAAGGCAAATAAACTGTGTTCCACCTCCTTACAATTATTACAAGTAATAAAGATTCTGGGAACTAAAAGTTAGTTGATAATGTTTATTGTATCTAAGGCTGAAAAGAATCCAGCACATTCTCCTATGACTGTCGGTTCTAAGGTTTTGTCAGTACTAAACTACATTTTTGTCAGCCAACTAAACAGATATAACTTTGGAAGGCATCTAAAATAATTCTGTGTCATATTCAACATATAATTTTAAAAAGATATTTTCACGTGCACATCTAAAAAAAGGTTTGTCATAAAAATTAATATCATCTTAACTGTATCAACAGCAACTACAATTATTATTTCAATATCTCAGAAAATAGAGAAGTGGGAAAAGTGAAAAATATCTAAATTAACTATGAAGTCGATGTACGCATGCTTCCAACAAAACTATGAAATGTTTATATTATGCATCAGTCTCATATTTCGCAGATCTAAGGTTAATCCTGAAAACACTGAGGTGAAGTTACACAGTTCACATAATTAGCTCCCCTAATATCAATGTAATATTGCAAGAAGGAAACTGTGGCAACTACTAGAGTTTACTTTAGGAGACATTAATTCATAGAAAACTGCAATTTGCTCATAAATAGATCATATACTATATATTTGAGAGAGTTTGTCTATTCATCTGTTCAAGAAGTCTTCCTAAATGGTAAGAGCTAGGAGCATTAAATTCAGTATACAGCTTCCTCTTATCTGTACTACATAAGAATATCTACAAATTAGTCCTTTCACAATCAACACATTATCTAACCATAAGGAACGATCAATTAAACGTAAACAGTGACTTCTCCTCATAGAAACATTGACAGCACCTAAAAGAGAAATTCCTGGTGCCCAAAAAAGTAACTCTGGAGTGTTTTAGGTTTGATTTTTAAAACTTTTATTTAGCATTTGTAACAAAACAGATTTCCATCCCTTCCCCACAAAAAGTTCAAATTTTGAAATATGCATGTTATCCTGTTTGGGTAAAAATTTGCACAGAAAATATTAAAAATTATCGGTTTTCAAACTTTATGCAGATCCTACTGTAGTTGTAGGATCTGATTTTGGAACTGCAGTGAAGGATGAAAAAAATGTACTAACAACAAAGTGTTCCCTGTCATTTTCCAATCAGAGAAGCAATTCAAGTAAGCCACATAAGGAAGCCAATTCAAATCAATATTTGATATTTGAATACAATTTTAAATTAAGTTATTGTTCAGTTCATTGCTGTAGAACCTGGATTTATGCAGACACCTTTTAGAGGACTAAATCCAATTACTATAAAAACATCCTCAAACAATAAAATAAATGTTTAACGCCTGTTGAAAGAAGAAATGCAATAAATAATAAATCTGCCTGTGCTCCAATTTATATTGGTGTTATATATACTAAAACATTTTCTAAATGTTTACAAGATCATCAAGAAAAAGAAGATTAAAGGAACAAATTTAGTATACATCAAGGTTATACAGTTTGAGCGCTACTGTTAAAAGCTTTCACTACTGCAATGCTATAGAACACTGCAGACAAGTATCTGGCCACTAGAGGGAGACAAATGACTGCTTTAGATTCAGAGCTCCAGTATCTTTGCTGCACATAAAAGTCTCAGAGGGGTAGCCCTGTTAGTCTGTAAGGCTATGTCTACACAGCAGCATTATTTCAGAATAACTGACTTTATTCTGAAATAACACAGCACATGTCCACACAGCAAGTCATCATTTTGAAATAATGGCGAGCTGGAGGACCTCTTACTCGGACACCTGTAACCCTCATTTCACAAGAGTAAGGGAAGTCAAAGGAATAGTGTCCTTCCTTTGACATCCTGCTGCGTAGACAGCACCAAAAGCCAAATGATGCTATTTTGACTTCAGCTACACCAGGGGTTCTCAAACTTTGATACACCATGACCCCCCTCTAAGATTCTGCAACCCCCCTCTAAGTTGGGACCCACAGTTTGAGAAACACGGAGCTACACAATTAACGTAGCTGAAGTTGTGTAGCTTAATTAAAGTTTTGCCCTGCTGTGCAGATGTGCCCCAACTTAAAAAACAAGGAGTGGTTCTGCAGCACCTTGGAGACCAACAAAAAATAGTATCATGAGCTTCTGTGGGCACAACCCACTTCCTCAGATGAACGGAGCAAGGCATCCAGAGGTACAAATAAATAGGAGAAAAAGAGGGGACATGAGAGGGAAAGGGCCATCCAGTTCAAGTCCTTGTTTATATCCCCTTTGAGTCTCCTCTTTTCTAAGCTGAAAAGTCCTAGTCTTTTTAATCTCTCTGCCTCTGGCACCTCAGCTCCTTCCTTCCGCAACCCTCCACGCCCCTATTCCTGCCCCACTATTCCACATGCATCCATACCCCCTCCCAGATCTGGTACCCAATCTCCTGCCCAAGATCAAAATCCCCTTATTCCCAGGTCACATCCCAAAACCCTGCACCCCAGTTCCCTGCCCTAAGTCACAACTGCCTCCTTCACTCAAACTCTCTTCCAAACGCCATTCTCCCTTATGCATAAGCAGGGCTCGACAAATTATGGAAAACCCTACCCGCCAGACAAAAAAGGGATTCGCCACCCTCCCCCCCAAAAAGTGT